TCACAAGGTTGACGAAAGTTTGAAAATACGTTCCATTGCTTCTTCAAGCTAAGTTGCCTCTTATCTGACCATTGTCTAGTCTGCAGCTCTTCTCCCTGTCTCTCAGGTGGGGATATTTGCAACTCTTTTATTGGCCTCAAAGGCTGTCAGGATGTTATTTGTCAATGGTGAACAACAACATATACTGTCCTGTATCCCCCCACCAACGTAAGAGTCAGCAACGTTTCCTTTTTCAATATCTTTTCCCTCTCTTCATTAGAATTCCCTAAGGTGACAATAAAGTTAGAAGACAAAGAAGATGTTTCATGGCTTCCAAACCACCAGGTGGCAGAAGGAAGTCGGAGCTTCTCAGTCGATCATTCAGGTACAAAAAAAGAGGGTCCTAGATTTGTGCCCAGTGCTTTTTAAGGTCCACAGGTTGGAGCTAGACAAATTCAGGAATTAAATTCCTTAAATGAAGTGTAGTGGAGCATAATGATTAAAGGATTGTGTGATGACCCAGAGCGTAACACAAACGTAACAAAATCCAAAATGTAAACAAATGTCCTTTAATGCCTCCAGTTTGGCCCCGCTGTTCAATCATTCTCAGTTGGAGATAAAACTTATTCAAAAATAGTCTTCAAAAGAAAGCAATACAGTCCAGACTTAATGAGCAGATAGAGGTGAAATAAAAAATTAAAACAAACTACAGTGAAGGAATTTCCACAACGGACCAGGATAAGTAATTACCAACTCCAAGAAGATAACAAGGCACGGTCTGTTGGAAGGACACCAACCAAGATAACTTCAGCCCAAAATAAAACACGCTTTGCTTCTGGCAACTTTGTGTGGTAATCGTCTCTCTTATATACTATTCTCCCCAGCTAAAACCAATGAGGGGGATCATGGCCGCTTTCTCTCTCGTAAGCCAAGTTGTTTCCTTCTCCGTTCCTCCCTGCGTGTCCTAGGATGAAGAGGGGATGGGCCTGATTCTTCCTCTGTCTCCCCAGCCTCCTCCGCAACCTCCACTCCCTGTCGGCTGTTCCTCCTCTCCCTCAGAGTCCGACTCTAACAAGGGCATGACAGATTGAACCATGAGCTAGGTTGTGTACAGCTTATATTTATTACCTTAGCCTTGGCAACCTATCATATTCCAGCTTCAATGCTCTTCTCTGATGTTTGAGATAAGTTTTATTTCTAGAATGATCACTGTAAGTTTCACTGCACCAAGACCATGCCCATCAACACTTGCAGAGCAAACTACTTATATATAAAGAGGAACCAAACCTCACTCCACTTCAGCACTGATGTTGCTACCTAGTTGGGTAATGTAACATCTGTAAGAAAATAACGAAGCGCAGAGAGCACCGAGAACCTCACCGTTCAACCTTGAGCTGCACATAATTCTCTTCTATTTGTACAAGGCATCTGTTTGTTTTCTTCCTACATAGGATTTCCTGTTCCTAAGTCTGAAGTCATCCATGGAGGAGATCCATGGACTCCAGAGGCTGTTTCACAAGAAAAAGAAATCCCAGTAGATTATGGCTCCGGTAAGACTATTGAATGAATTATTGTGATTAATCTTGATTTTCCACACCACGAGTTCCTTAGTTGGTGCACCACTGAAAAGACCAGATTATGGAGGAAGTTTTTCCATGCGATTACTAAGAGTTGACACTAAGTTGATGGCACATAATCAATTAGTCCATCTAGCTTTCCCACATTAGAAGTTCTCTAATTCTGCTCCAATTATACTTTTAACAACTACTACACTGTAGCATTGATCTAGAGTTTGGGAAACAAAGATCAGTTTTTAATTCCGCCGCTGGATCGTCTTGATTTGAGGATAAAACAATTGGAGAAATACCACGATTGTATTTTGAAGTACGTTAAGACAAAATTACCCTTCCTTCCCTCCATATACGCCTTTAATGTTGAGCTTAATAAAATGTGCCCATTCTGAAATGGCTGTGTATTTTTTGTGGGAGGGAAGCTATCATTCAGAGTCTGGCTCTAAGGCAGCCTATTGTCTTCCAGAACTGTTGGTATTGCAGTTCCTATCATTCCAAGGCATCAGGGCAAAGATAATTTTGGGAGTTGAAGTCCTAATATACCCAGAAAATGCCTAGTTGGGAACGGTTGTTCTGAATTCTTGCATAAAGTTCCGGGATTTGCCCAGAAAATTGTACATCTCCTCCGCTGCCGGTTATCAAAATAGCATTTCTATCATACCTCATTTCTTTTTATCAGAGCTTCCAGATGTAATAATAAAGCTGGAACAGGAAGAGATTTCGTATGTTCCCTGCCCGCATGTTTCAGAAACAAGCGTGACATTCAAAACAGTCCAATCAGGTAAGTGAGATCAATTTACTCCATTACGTTTCATCACTAAGAAGAAAGGACTGTGCTGACCTTACCTCATATTCAGTGGTGGGATTGGAATAACTTCACAACTGGTTCTCTGGCTAGGTAGGTGTGGCCGGTTGGTCATGTGACTGGGTGGGTGACGTCACTCATTACACCTAGCCCTGCCTCCTGGTCAATCACCTCAAAGGCAGAGGTAGGATTCAACCGGTTGGTGCTGGCTGGCCCCGCCCCTGCTCATTTTTTGGCCTTTTGGGGGACCGATTTAGGGCCATTTTTCGGGTTAGGGTCCGGAAAACAGGCTGGAAAACAGGCCGGAAAGCAAGCCGGGGCGGGGCCAGCCGGTGATGGGATTTGCCAGTTCGCCGAACTGCCCAGAATCTTAACTACCGGTTCACCTCAACCGGCAGCAGCCCACCTCTCCTCAGATTCCTTCTAAGAGCCAGTTTTGTCTAGTACCGCAAGCTAAAAACCAGGCGACAGTGAATTTTAGTCCTACCTTAGGAATGAAAGCCATTTGGGTGTCTTTGGATTAATCACCAGGAATCTGTGAGTTCTAATCCCTTCATAGGAATGTAAACTGACTGAGTAACTTTGGGTCAGCCACTCCTACCTCACAGGGTTGTTGTTATTGTGAGGGAAAAGAGAAGGAGAAAGGAGGATTAGGTATCTTTGCTGCCTTGAATTATTTATAAAAATATTAAAGAAGGAAGGAAGGAAGGAAGGAAGGAGAAAGAGAAAGAGAAAGAAAGTGTAATGTTCTAGAAGTTTCCCCGAGCCACTGAGATGCCAAAGAGAGTGAGACTTGAGACGAAGCATGCAAAAAAACACCAACCAACAACAGCTTTTTAGTTTGGCCAAAGCAAAAAGTCTGGGTGAATACTATGTCCAAAACATACAGACAAAATGCATGTAAGGAATAGTCACAGCTAGGTAAAGTTTTGTCTAGGATCTTATACATTTGTTTAGCCAATCAGAGACAAAAGTTCGTTATTCAATGTGCGCAATGTCTTGCCCATGCCCTCCCTCCCTTATCCATGGAGCGTTCTTTGTCCGTGCTGTCTCCATACTTCGTTATCTTACACAGCATCCCTTGTGTTCATGGTCCTAGGCAGCCCTTCCCCCGCCCCCTTATTTATGGAGCAGGATGTTCCTGGGAACTGTCTCCAAGGATGTGCCTCGCTCTGAAGCAAATTGCAGAAGCAAGAAAACCAGATAGAAAAGGATACAATTCTTTTACAGAATGAATTCCTAACGAATGATTCCTAACCATAGCAAAATAGTACAAGCAACTTCTTTAACAGAAGCAAGGAGCAAAGGTTAGATTGATTTGTGTCAATATGTCCTTTATAAAGAAAAAAGAAGAGAGAGAGAGAGAAAGGAAGGGAGGAAAGAAAGAAAGAAAGAAAAAGAAAGAAAGGAAAGGAAAGGAAGGAAGGAAGGAAGGAAGGAAGGAAGGAAGGAAGGAAGGAAAGAAAGAAAGAAAGAAAGAAAGAAAGAAAGAAAGAAAGAAAGAAAGAAAGAAAGAAAGAAAGAAAGAAAGAAAGAAAGAAAGAAAGAAAGAAAGATAGATTTCCTCTCAGACAAATGCTTGTTTTCCTACTAAATCTCTTTCCAGTATGTATTAGGCAAGATGTTGCTTCTGAACCGACATTCTCAACCTGGATATAAAACATGACACAAATTGTGTGTGTGTGTGTGTGTGTGTGATCCAGCAGGTTCCATAGTCGTTCTGCTTTTAGAGGACCTGAAATGCCAAGCTGGAGAAAGACCTTGATCTGGAACACAATTACATTATGGTTTAACACAGAGGTCCCCAACCTTGGCAAGTTTAAGACTTGTAGACTTCAACTCCCAGAATGCCTGAGCTAACATTAGTGGAGGAGGAACTCTGGGAGTTGAAGTCCACAAGTCTTAAAGCTATCAAGTTTGAAGACCCCCTAGCTTAACACAATCTATGTAAACTGAAGCGCCATGGGGAGATCTTAAAGGTCTTATTTCCATGAATTAGTCGAGATATAGACTGTGGTGGTCTTCCAAGAGATGTCTGAGGACAACGAAGAGGACAAAATCCTGTCATAACTCCTCCAAACATTTTTATTCCCTTTTCCCACCCACCCCCCACAGATGTCCCTGCTGAAAACCTAAATCCTGGCTTGATTAAAAATGAACATTTCTTTGTTTATCCCGATAGGAGGTGGCCATGACAAAATGTTTCAGAGAGAAGTACCATTTTACTCCGGCTGTGTGAGGCATTTCCCTGACAAACCCAAATGTATCAAACAAGAGAACCAAAACATGGCAGAGAAACCCCACAAGTGCTCTTGCTGCACCAAAAGCTTCATGAAGAGGTCCAACCTTCGCACCCACGAGAGAATCCACACAGGGGAAAAGCCATTCCGCTGCTCCGAATGCGGCAACAGCTTCAGCGATGGTTCCAGCCTCATCAGGCACAAGCGGAAGCACACCGGGGAGAAGCCGTACAGCTGCTCGGCGTGTGGGAAGCGGTTCAACCAGAGCTCCAGCCTCATCAGGCACGAGCGGAGTCACACGGAGCAGAGACCTTACAAGTGCTTGGAATGTGGGAAAAGGTTCAACCAGAGCTCCACCCTCGTGCGGCACGAAAGGATCCACCGAGAACAGAGGCTGTACAAATGCTCGGACTGCGAGAAGAGATTTATTCAGAGCTCCAGCCTCCTTGCTCACGAGAGGATCCACCGGGGAGAGAAACCTTACAGCTGCACAGCTTGCGGGAAAGGCTTCGTCCAGAAATCTAACCTTCTGATTCACGAGATGAAACACACCGGTTTGAAGCCGTTCAAGTGTCAGGACTGCGGGAAAGGTTTCATTCAGAATTCAAGCCTCGTCATACATCGGAGAATCCACACGGGGGAGAAACCGTACAGTTGCTCGCACTGCCGGAGACCTTTCAGCGACAAGTCGAGCCTTAACAAGCACGAGCGGGCCCACCGAGGGGACAAACCGTACAAGTGTTCCAGCTGCGGGAAAAGCTTCGTGCGGAGGTCTCACCTCTTGACTCACGAAAGGATCCACACAGGCGTGAAGCCGTTCAAGTGCTCGGACTGCGGGAAGAGCTTCAGTAGCAGGTCACATTTGATCAGGCACGAAGGGACGCACACGGGGGAGAAGCCCTACGATTGCTCATTCTGCGGGAAGAGCTTCAACCGGAAGTCCAACCTGACCAACCACGAGAGGACCCACACGGGGGAGAAGCCTTACAAGTGCTCCGATTGCGGGAAAAGCTTCAGCGACAGGTCCAGCCTGATTAAGCACGAGCGGATCCACACCGGGGAGAAGCCGTACAGTTGCGGGTCCTGCGAGAAGAGCTTCAGCGACAAATCGAGCCTTATCAGGCACGAGCGGATCCATACAGAGGAGAAGCCATACAAATGTGCTGATTGCGGGAAAGGATTCAACCAGAGCTCGAGTCTCATTGTGCACGAGAGAACCCACACGGGCGAGAAACCCTTCAAATGCTCTGACTGCGGGAAAGGCTTCATTCGCAGGACGATTCTTAATAAACATGAGAGGACCCATGCTGGGGAGAAACAATAAAAAAAACAAATAAACCCTCAGTTAGTGGAAAAGGCCCAGATTCCATTATGAACTCCTAGGTCTTCTGATCTGATAGTACACCTGTTTGAAGGAAGCTGTTGGAACGAACGTAGGCTAGTCATAGAGCTGTGCCCTGAGAAATCCTTTTATTTCTGTGATTTTAGATCGCCTTAGAGCATAAATGGACAATTATGGCAACTTTGGGACCTGTGGACTTCAACTCCCAGAATACCTGAGCCAGTCATTTTTTTGCTGGCTCAAGAATTCTGGGAGTTGAAGCTGTGGTGGTATTCTACCGGTTCAGCCCGGTTTGGGTGAACTGGTTGTAAAAAAAAAAACAGCTACCAGTTTAGCTGAACTGGTATTCTTTTTTTTTCCTCCCGACGATTAGCTGTTCTGACAATCAGCTGTGTTGGGATCCCCCTCGCTGTCTTACCGCTTCGCCCAGGAGGATTCCCTGAGGCAAACAAATGGAGAGCGTGTGTGTGTGTGTGCGTGCTGTGCAACCCGCTCCCCCCAATGCTCCGTTTTTGGCCTCCTGGGCCTCAGGGAAACCTCCTGGGAGCAAAAATGGCTTCCCAGGAGGTTTCCCTGAGGCCCAGGAAGCCAAAAACGGAGCGCCAGGGGAGGGTGCTGAAAAAAAAAAAAAGAAGAAGCCATGCCCACCCAGTCACATGGCCACACCCACCTCGCCACACCCACAGAACTGGTAGTAAAAATATTTGAACCCCACCCCTGAGTTGAAGTCCATAGATGGTGACTTTCCCATGGTTGCCCGTGCCTGCCTTAGAGAGATGTTTCTCCTTGCCTTCCAAGCCCTTTCACATCATCATCATGGGACATGGGGATTTGCGCACAGGCCACGGATCACACAGAATTCCCCGTTTTAAAGGCATTACTTCAGGCAAATTGCAGACATGCTCACTTCTGCGCCTGGAATGCGATTCTGTTCTTATTCCTCCATAGAGATCTGTCAGCATATGGCATAGAGAAGGGATGCGACAAAATAGTCTATAACAGTGGTCGTCAACCAGTGGGCTGGGAACCACTGGTGGTCTGTGAGAAAATGTTGGTGGTCTGCAGAGAAATGTCCCGTTCCCCCCAAAGCAGTTCAATCCAGGCTGCGGGGGAAGACAAGGCCTGCCCACATGCTGTCCTCCACACTTCGACCAAGCACACGTGAGCTGGAACTGGAAGATAAGACTAAAGGCGGGGGAGGGAAATCCGCCCCAGGGTGTCTTGTTGATGCTGGTGGGAAAGTCGGTCCATATTCCAGAGCTGCAGTAGTCACAAGACTGGCCCTTTGGTCATCCCGGAGCAGCTCCTCCAGTCCATGGCAGGCCGGTGCACCCAGGTGGAGGAGCAGCTGCTCCAGGGTGACCAGAGGGCCAGTCCTGTGACTACTGCAACTCTGGAATATGGGACTGACTTTCCCACCAATGTCAGCAAGCCACCGTCAGTCAAAATTCATATTAGTGGTCCGTAGGATTTAAAATTATGAGTTTAGTGGTCCCTGTGGTCCAAAAGGTTGGCGACCCCTGGTTTATAATGGATAGACTGGAGGATTCTGGGATTGATACGTCAACTGTATGAAATTGTTCTTTCCCCAGAAAATAAAATGAGAGTGTGTGTGATAGAAAAAATAAAACATGGATCGTAAAGAATTACGAACCTAGATTAGAAAAGAACCGGCTGCATTAATAACTATAAAAAGTACTTTTTTAATATTTAAGTGTTATTATCTATGTCATAATCCTTAGTGGAAGGGCAGATATCTTACTTCTGTTTTAAATGGGTGACTGAGTCATTCTGGCTTTCCAAAATTAGATTAGAAGCCGTTTGGGTATAGGGAGTTTCACACCTGAAATTAGATTTCTTTTTCCCTCCACACCCCTTGCACTCCATGTCTTCGCTGTATGTCTTCCTTAAGTCTAAGGGGAAATACGGTAACAATCTACAGACAGCGGTAATGCTTGTCTTACAACTACAGTTAGCATCAGAATTTCCACGGCTAAGCAAAGCGATTGTTAAGTGACGCAGCAACGGCTGTAAGTATGAACCAGTTGCCAAGCATCTGAATTGAGATCACATAATCATGGGGTTGCTACAAAGGTCGTAACTGTGAAAAATGGTCAGAAGTCCACTGTTGTAAGTCGAGGACTACCTGTACATTAAATTTTCCAGTAGTTGTATTGTGCGGACCGGAACTGAACATGGTATTTCAAGAGGTGTTAAGAGCAGATGCCCTGTAGACAGGAGCTGTCCTTTCTAGGCTCTTGATAAAATTATCTTAGTTGATGATCAGCCCATCCTTGCACTAGCTCCCTGATGGCGAACCTATGGCACGGGTGCCACAAGTGGCACGCAGAGCCATTTGTGCTGGCACGCGAGCCGCAGGCAAACTTACTTCACTGCGCATGCCTCACAGCTGATTTTTGGGGTGGTGGTGGTGGTTTGAGATCTTTTTCGGCCTCCCAGAGGCTTGGAAAAAGCCTCTGCAAGGCTTCTTAGGCCGAATTATAGGCCTGTTTTCGCCCTAAGAAGCCTTGCAGAGGCTTTTTCCAAGCCTCTGGGAGGCTGAAAAAGGCCTCAAACCAGCCGAAAAATCAGCTGTGAGGCGCGGTGCAGGTAAGGGGGTGGGGATTGCGCACGCATGTGCAGGGGCCGTGAGGAGGGGTGCGCGCATTGCATTCTTGGTGCTGGCATGTGAGTATGGGCGTGCTCGCAATTTTTGGCACAGGAGCCCAAAAAGGTTAGCCACCACTGCACTAGCCCTTATGGCAGCAGCAGCTAGAATTAGACACAAAATCTCTCTCTCCCTCTGTGTGTGTGTGAGAGGGGGAGAGAGAGAAAGAGAGAGAGAGAGAGAGAGAAAACCAGTGACTTTGGCCTCCCATGGCTATGCATGTAGATCAGGGGTGTCAAACTCAATTTCGTTGAAGGCAACATCAAGGCTATGGTAGACCTGGGTAGGTGTGGCCAAATGAATGGGCGTGGCCAGCTTGACACCACTCCTCAAATTGCTGGCATGTTTCCTCTTCGCATTGGGTAGACCGGGCCAAAGCGATGCGGGCCGGCCCCTTACATTTTCCAGGACGGCCCCATGGGCTGGATCCAACCACATTGCGAGCCGGATGCGGCCCGCGGGCCTTGCGCTTGGCACCTGATGTAGGTCGTGTGTGTCCCAATCTTGGCAAATTTCCAAGTCTGCAGAATTCATTTCCAAGAGTTCCTCAGTAAACGTGCTCATTATTGAGGAGGATTCTGAGAGTTGAAGTTCACCAATATAGAAATGTTGAAAATACTGAGGGAATATTGGGTGAGCTCAATTTGCATATAACAACTTTACTGTTGGAAGTTTTAGTTTACAGAATTCAGTGAATATTCACTATGGATCTTAAACATTATGCATTTATACACTGAACCTGTCACAAATGGTGGCTTGCAACTTTGCTGTCTGAAATGAAAATTGCCTTCATCTTAAATGAGCGAGTCTACATTGGTTTTGTTGATTTCTGCACACAGCAGCCTTTGTTCTTTTTAATTCACTGATCATCTTCCAGTGGTTCTTTTTTGAGATCCAAAGAGTTTGGGGAACAATTGTGCTAGAAGTTTTCTAATCAAAGAGAAAATTTTAAAAAAATCTTGCTGCAGATAGACCTTTTGAATCCTGGTTTGTGTATGCATGCATACCTACTGTACATACATATACAAACAGACAAACCAGGATATACGAAGCTTATCAACTATTGGGTTTTTTTTATTTTATCAAGGAGATCACATGATGCAAAGATCCAGCAGCCTGGAAAAGGCTCTGATGCTGGGAAAGGAGGAAGGAAAGAGAAGAAAAAGAGGAACAGCAGCAAGATGGATGAACTCAGATCCTGTCCCAATGGGGCCACCATTGGAAGACCTGAAGTTAGGGCAATATCGCCATCGGGAAAAAATCCATCTTTGTGGTCCTTAAAAATCAGCAACTCAATGGCACATAATCATGTTTATGATAGACATGTGAACCAGTAAGACTCATTGAAATAGACATAAACATTTTGGGCAGTGCTTACAACACACTCTCAAATTTGGAATTCTTATATTTAGAACTGTGCCAGATGAAATAGGCACCAACACAATTTCTTAGTAGGCTTGGAATTGTAGAATTCTAAGGCTGGTGAAATCTGGAAAGCTAAACACGACACACCTTAAAATGGCTTGGGTTCCAGTTCCAAAACTGGAATTAAAAGAACTACCCTGGAATCTGATAAGTAATACTTAGTATTTCCAAAAGTGCCACTGCTCCCCCTCCCAAATTGCAACCATTCCTTTAAAAAAATATAGCTTGCCACATAGAAATTTTGGACTAATATACCCAAAATATATCTGAGGGGAAACTATCCTTCAGCATTCGCAAGAAATATGTTTTTTTAATGATGCTAAATATGTTGTTTATTCATCAACAATATGACTCCTAATAATAAGAGCCTTGGTGCAGCATACAGTGACAAAAAAATAAGAAAAACAACCTACTAATTTTAGAATAAAATCGTTGTAACAACAAAGATTCTAGCAACCCATCGAACATGAGAGCTGAAAGTATGGAATGAATAGAATGATATACTCCACTTCTACTTCATTCCTAAAATGGTAGCACTGACTGGTCCCTAAATATGGGATTAAAGCAATGTTTCTCACCCTCGGTGGCTTTAAGACTTCAACTCCCAGAATTCTCCCAGCCAACATGCTGGCTGGGGGAATTCTGGGAGTTGAAGTCCACATATATTAAAGTTGCTAAGGTTAGATTAAATGTCAAGTTGAGATTGTGTGTCTTCTTCAAGGCAAAGCTGATCTACATCAAGAAAAGGAGTATCTCAAAGAAGGCTTTGCCGATTCCTACCCTTTTCTCAATATAGATTGGATCCTC